CCAGAGGGATGTAGGGACGAGGCGCAGCCGGAGGAGTGGAGTCCCGAGGCGACGGATGGTCGACGACAGACCAAGGCGGAGTCAGAGGAACGAGGGAGCCCGGCGGAGCCAGTGGACTGATGGACCACGGCGGAGAGAAGGGAGCTAGGAGCCATGGTGGAGCCGCCGGGTCGACGGGCCGAGACGGAGTCCAGGACTCAGAGGCTGGAGGCGGAGGCCAGGGATTCTCCAGCCACGGTAACAATGGAGGATGGCAGATCCGCCGAGCTCGCACCATACAGATGGTGGGCTGAGGGCGAGCAGAGGGGCTGCCAGACGACAGTGGTGGAGGACGCAGGAGTGTGCGGGTGGGCGGGTATTTGTGAGCCTCCGGGCATTCAGGGTTAAACTCAGGAAGGGGAGCCCTCTCTCCTTCGGAGTTACACAGTCCCAGATCCATAATTAGCTCACCCTCAGCCACAGTGCAGGGGTCGGAGCTCCTCTCCACGCTCTCACTGTCCACGGCTTTCTCCCTCGTGGCGGGTGTTGTAGCCGGCTCTCGCATCTGGTCTGACGATCCGTGAGGCTCTGGCTCCGTGGCGATCCTCAGCTTTGTCGCACTCCTAGGCGATGGCCCGTCAGTCGCAACGGGCTCAGGCTCTCCGTCAACGGTGAGCTCGGGCTTACACTACGCACAGCGGGGAGATGGTGGATCGGAGGTAAACACTCTCCAGACACCGGATGATTGCCTCCCTCCAGTGCAGTCCGGTGGTGTCTGGGAGGTCGAGTAGTAGTTAGCCCCGATGCAGAACAGTGAGTTCAGTGCAGCGTCGTCAAACGCTGTTAACACGGCGAGCTGGCTGAACTCTACCTCATACTCCAAAAGGGGAAGGTCCTTGCGGGTGAGGGAGGTAAACTTTTCGGCAAGGGGATCCATGGGGAGCACGGGGAAACCAGAAAACAAAACTCTGTAAAACACTGTAAAAACACAAAAAATAAACGGAGGGGAACAACGCAAATAAACTTTTTGTAGGTCCGGTGTTCTGTCACGCTTGCTGCTATGGCATGGAGCGAGGAACGAGGAGACAGAGGAATAAACTCAAATAACTTTATTTTTTTGTCTTTAATGATAATCCAAAGGAATCAATGTAGCACAAACACAGGGAACCAGAAGACATTAGACACCAGACGAGGGACCATGGAACAGAACACTCTTAAATAATCAACTAAACGAGGGGATGGACGAGACACACCTGGAATCAATGAAACACAATGGGAACAGGAACAGGAAAGACCAAATATGGGCATAAACACACGAGGGAAAACTAGGTCAAGGGGAGCATGTAGGGAGCAAAACATACACAGACAGTCCATAATCCTGACATTAGCACAGCACAAAGCTGTTTAATAAACAGTAATTTAATAATGTCGTATACTCTTGAGGGATTTCAGGCATGACTCTGTTTGTCTTTGGTGCAACTGTCAATATGCTGGAGGCTTTAGCTAAAGCCTCTGAAAGGGATGCTAATGATGTAGAGTTTTGTTGGTTAAATAGCTAATATAATTTCAAGTAATTATTATAATAACACTAGCCTAGAGACTGTAATTAGCGCTTGACTTATTGTAATAGAAATGTAACATGCACATACGTTGAAGATTCAGGGAATCATATGCAAAGCTCAAACGTCATCTGGATGATTTCCCACTGCTAATCGAACGCTGAATGACTTGACAGAACTTAAGCTGAAATGTAATTCTATAAGCTGTAAACTTCACCGGCTGTGTCTCTTTCCCAAAAGCACACAGTGTTGCGTTAAGCAGAGGTCATTTCGTTTGAAGTGACAGGCTTCGTCCTTCAGAGGTTAGGAAGTTCAGAGCTGCACATGCTGAGTTTAGCCTTGTTATTGTGCCGTACTATGCAAATAAATACACAGTGGTTTATTTATAGTTATTGTAACTTGTAAAGTTAAAAAAATTGGCCTAGATTTAAGGTTTATGTGTTTGAATTGAATTGTAAAATTTCCATCCATTTGGATTACTCAGATTTAATATAAACAAACTAATAAACTTCATTTTTTTCACAATTATTAGATTTATGCTTTAAGCAAGTTGAATAAGTGCATTTTTGAAATAGGATTATTTAAAAAAAAAAATCTAATAGATGCAAATAGATTGCCTTTTTTTTCTTACTGGTTTGATTGACAAATATTTATCACACTGAGTTTATTAGTTTATGATAAAACTGTATTATTCAAATGGATGGAAATTTTTACATGCAATTCAAATACATAAATCTTATTTTAGACCTAAATATTTTTTTTTTGTGTGACGGGAACAAGATTCAAACGTTCCCCTACCAGACTCGAACATGCATTGCCACATATACAATAATTAAAATTTTATTCCACAATAGAAAACCAAACATATGATAGAAAATGAACTATAGATCAAAACCATGTCAAGTCTAATTAATTAATTGACAGCATTATTTTAGCATCAATGAGGTACTGTTCTAGTTTTTTTTTTTTTTTGCATTTTTATTTTGGTATTTTTCATTTTAACTTTAGCAATTTTATGCTGTGTTTTTGTCTTTTTTAGTTACTGTTTTCTTTTATATATATGTAGCGTCTGGACCAGTCAAACACACAATATATATTTTCCCCATGAGCTGAGTCGTTACATATATATATATATATATATATATATAGTTTTTATTTTATTTTTATTTTTTCGGTTTTAGTTTTAGTTGTTATTTTAGTACATCAAGTTAAACTAAATGAAAATGGGAACCGTTGCCTTGGGAACTAGCTGAAAAAAAAAGTTCTTATATTTTATTATTTGACTATATTTCAGTTAACATTTATTCGTATTTCAAATAATAGACATGTTTTTTTTTAATGGTTTTAGTTGTACTTAATTATAATAATCCTGTAAATTGAATAGGTGTTGAAATGACATTTTAGTAGATAATAAAATAGCTCAAGGTTTTATTTTTTCATGTGAAAAAGCTTTTAGATAAACTTTGTTAAAACGACCTTTTTTCCCTTGTTAAAACATTCTAATTGTCTACAAGAACTTTAAAGTATATATATTTTTTAATATTGCCACATATGCACTAATTACTTGGCCACGGCTCTGACCTCTAAAGTTAGCTAGTTTAAAAAAAAAACATTTCTTGCCTGATGTGAAAATGAATGAACTTACACTTTTCTTTCTTTCTCTTTCTCGATCAGGTTGTTAAAGGACATGGTGCCCCGCGTCAGGCAGACGAGACATTACGAGCGCTTCGAGTAGCGATTCTGATTCTGGACGACACAACACACACAGAAACACTCCTGTGGAGATTCTCCTGAGAGGAAAACACAACAGAACACAACACACACACACTTTACCTGCCTCAGGGCAAGCACAGCCACTAATTCCCCCTGTAAATATGGATCTGAAAGGGAACAACTGAAATTGAAAATATAAAATGTGTATTATCGTATCGTTTGAGATGGCAAAGAGCCATGGGGCTGAAACAAGACATCTCAGAATGTATATCATCTGATATATAAAACCCAGCTTCATTGCATTGAGTTATATGTTGGTATTTATGGGTATAATGGTGAGAGACCTTTTTTAGGTATGATTTGTGCAGGTTATTACACATATATTCAACATTTTCAAACGTCCAGGTTAAGAGGGAAAAGGTTTATCAGGTAAACTTAACACAGATTGTCATTTTTGTCTAGTTTGTTTAAATTAAGTTATTTCAGTAGTTCTTTAGTAAAAACGTTTGTTGCATCTGTGAAAACCTGTAAAATTTTCACATGAACAATGAAGAAATAGACTAAAATGACACAAGAATTCATTAGCTGTCTAACATTCGATTTCGAAAGTTCTCATTATAGAAATGTCAATAAAATGCCACAGTGGAAAAGCCAAAAACATCATATAAAATCAAGTACAGATCACTCTGAAAGTGTACAAATTGAAGTTATGCCAACATAAACGGAAGGGGTGCTGAAACTACATATTTGTAGATAATAAAAAGACTCAAAGTTGTGTTCTTCACAGGGACCTTGTTAAAACTTTAATTTGATTCTTTTTTTCCTTGTTAAACGTGCCATTGAATCATCTACATGAACTTTAAAGTATAATATTCAACAAACAGGGCATTTTCATATCTAATACTATTGTAACATACTCAAAACATAATACATGACGAATCTTTCAGTACTTAAAGAGCACTAGTCTAAGTCTACAAACTAATTGCTAGAAACCGCTTCGTTTGCTAGACCTAAATAATTATGTAATTTCATCTTTCGCACTCCATTGAAACAGTAAAACTCTGTGAAGGTCATTTGTTATAGTTTGATCTAGCCTTGCATATAGCTTTTGGTGAAACTTGTACTTATTAAATGGCACACAAATGTTACTCGCACAGTAACAAAGCCTTAAAACTTGACCCTTCATGATGTGAAGTTATATGTTCTGAAGTATTACTTAGACTGTTGTAATTTTGCCACGAAATTTGGCAGTTTAAATGTGTATTTGGGAAAAGCCGAGTTTCTGAGCATTTTATGTAGCAAATATATTGTAGCTCCGTGGAGCAGATGGACGTAACAGTGACATTACAGCCGGTCCAACCGCGTATGTGCTATTCAGTGGCAGTTCATAGTTCGATTGTCGGTGAAAAGCAACGTTTGTGCTTTTGGAGAAGTGTATGACTTATGCTGTTTTTTCAGGTGTGTGGTCGAATTCGCCGCTCTGTTCTTTATTGACATGTTAAATACTTTGAGCCCTTGTCAGAGGGACTAGACATAAGCACACGCCCCTGCAAATGAGACTTTCTTTGCACAGTTGCTAAAACCACATGTAGACGTGTGATCAGGACTTAAAGGAATAGTTCAGCCAAAAATGTCTGAGCATTCACTCACCCTCAGTCCATCCAAGATGTAGTTGAGTTTGTTTATGATTTGGAGATATTTAGCATTTCATCACTTGCTCACCAATGGATGCTCTGCAGTGAATGGGTGCCGTCAGAATGAGAGTCCAAACAGCTGATGAAAACATCACAATAATCCACAAGTAGTCCACACCACTCCAGTCCATCAGTTAATGTCTGGTGAAGTGAAAAGCTGCGTGTTTGTAAGAAACTAATCCACCAGTCCATTTAAGGTGTTTTAAATTCAAACGGTCACTTCTGGCCAAAATCCATAACGTTTAGCCCATAATCCATTAAAAAAAAAATGTCTTTGATGTCTTTTCACATCAAAATCCACCAAAATAATTAGTTTAGAACTATTTTGAACTGTTTTGGTTTGTAAACAGTGCTTGATCTGTGCAGATTTCTCTCATGATTCAGACGAGACTGGAGAAAGCAATATTATGGATAGAGAGGACTTGTATATTGGCCTGAAGCAACAGTTTGAAGTTGAAAACATCTTGATGGGTTAGTTTCTTACAAACTCACAGCTTTTCTCTTCACAAGACATTAACTGATGGACTGGAGTGGTGTGGATTACTTGTGGATTATTGTGATGTTTTTATCAGCTGTTTGGACTCTCATTCTGACGGCACCCATTCACTGCAGAGGATCCATTGGTGAGCAAGTGATGTGATGCTAAATTTCTCCAAATCTGTTCTGATTAAGAAACAAACTCAACTACATCTTGAAATTTTCAGGAAATTCTCATGTTTGGGTGAACTATTCCTTTAAAACCAAGGCCCAAAAATAACGAGATTGGGCCCATAATTTGGTTAAAAAACTGAATTCGCACCATTGCTTGAAGAACAAATGCTGACAAAAGCCGATGTAAATCCACGTCGGGCTGAATGTCATGTGATACATGAATGTATATACAACTATGTTGCTGTGGAGTACACATGTATATTTACACAGAAATGTCTGTTGTCACAGAAAAAAAAAGTTTATTTGAAAAATAAAGATATATCCTACTGATTCCTCATAATTAATGAAAAACAAACTGTCCGGGTTTTTTTTTTCCCATGAATGTCTTAAAATCCATCATAACGAATGTAAATCACCCCCCAAAACACAAGAACAACTTAAAAAACAAATCCATCAGGGTTGATCAGTTTACAAATGATATGTGAATGCTTTTCAATTTAAAACAAAACAAAAGCAATTATTATTAACAGCAATGTAAACCAGAACAATTGTAAAAAAAAAAAAAAAATTCAACTTTTTTTCCAACATATTTGCAGTAGTTAGTAGGTAAGAATTACTGGCCATGATTTTGAATAGACTAATATTTTCAATAAAACGTTTGACAGTCATTAATATGAATAGCTACAGCTAAGCCGTACGAAAACAAACACTTTCAAAACAGTGGCATCCTTCATACTGTAAACCAAATGTAGTGACTTTAGTCATCTAGACATATATTAGTCTGATTGTGTGATTTTGCGTGTCAACAACCACCAAACGTTTGGCAAGACTATTTCGCGCTAAATGCCGAGCAACTCGTATTTCAGCTATTAAACTACTATTTCGGCTTTTAGCTAGTTAGCATTTCACCTCCAGCGCTTGCTATTTCGTAAAGGAAAACAAACCAGACAGTTCTAGTTAGTAACCATCAGAAGGCACCTCATGAAACAAGATGAAACAATAGCTTGGCTGAAGACCATCGTTTTACATACAAACGTACAGATCTCGACAAGAGCGGAAACGCAAACGTAAAACTATCGTATAAGTTAGAGTGGAAAACTAGAAGAGACCCATCTATATTTACAAATGTGCAAATGTGTACAGAAATCATACACTGGATAAAAACATCAAATGAGGATTTGCTGGCTTTTGAAATTAAACTGTGTTCACAATGTTTGTCCAGAGTATTGACAATAAAGGAAATTATGATATGTTATGCTGTACTATTTTTATATAACATTCAGTCAAATTTTACAGCAAAAACTTTACGTTTTATGTATTTTTTATTTATTAAAAAAAAATGTTTACTTCATTTTGTAGTTAAGTATTCAGTTATTTTTTATTGAATCTTTGTAGTTAAAGAATTACAAATAATTTAATTAAAGGGATACAATTCTGCCATCATTTACTAAACCTCAAGTCGTTCCAATCCTGTTTGAGTTTCCTTCTTTTGTTGAACACAAAAGATATTTTGAAGAATGTTTGTAACCAAACTGTTGACGGTAGCCATTGACTTGCATGGTTTGGAAAAAAATACTATGGAAGTCAATGGGTACCGTCAACTATACGGTTACCAAAATTCTTCAAAATATCTTCTTCTGTGTTCAACAAAAGAGAGAAACATACAGAAACACATCCCTTTAAGGATTAACTTAATAATAAAACTAAATTTAGTTCTGCCGCTCATATTTTTTTTCCAGACAGTACTCTGGACAAGCATATGCGCATATACTTCATTTAGTCTGATAAATAACATTTCCCTCTATAAAGAATTTTCTCTTCTATAAATAGTCACATAAAAGTCAACAGGCAGAGATAAAGGTCTGTATACAAAATAAATTAAAAAACAAACTTTAAAACAATTGTACAGTGTTGTAATATCTGATGTCAAATCTTCGCTATAGTGCAGTTTCATTCCAAAACACAAATAACTCTAAATAATTCTAATTTTGACGTTTTTCGATAATAAGCAGGCAAATTCAAGAATATCGCGCAAAATAAAAATGAAACAAAAAGCCAAGGCCAATGTGTTTTTAACACAAAATAAAAAAAATTATTTTATCCTAGTAATGTACACTTTGTTTTTATACAGATATATATTTCTTTTTTTATACAAATAAAGATAAAATTTTACAGAAATATCTGTGATCGTGTTGGTATTCACCTTATCCACATACAGATCATCTGAAACCCGTGATATAATGTTCATTCAGGTAAACTGGGCCACTTTTTGCCAATTAACGCGAAAGCAAAATATGTCCCAATTTAGTTGAATTCAGTCTACAAGTTTAACGGTTAGTTTGGTCAAATGGCTTGCGTTCTACTTCATACTGGCTGGTTTGCGACGTGTGTATTTCACTAATAAATCCCACCTGGCAGTTGACTGGTGCAGTACTGCGATATTTAACGTGGATTGTGACCAACACTGAAAATTCCCAGTGTTAGCATGTGCTGTTAACAAGTAAACTACCATGCAGAATAAAGCGGACCGTGTGTTTACGTTTCAGCGCCTGTTATTTACATGTGAGCGCGTCATTTCACGGAGCCAGTACATGGAAAGTCCAGTTACAGTGTAAAACGGGGGACATTTCTCCATTTCCCCAATAACAAGCGCACTCGCGCACACAAATAAACACACTCGGTAGGTTAGAGTCTTCAAAATGGTCAAAGATGCTTTTCAGAGTCAGTTGTCAGACTTGGTCCAATGATGAAAGTCACCTTAGAAAGAGAAGAAAAAAACACACAAATAAACAAAAACAGTAGAATGAAGAACTGGGCTAATAAACGTCACTACAGTGTTTCCTCCATGCCAGCAGGGGGCAGTGTACAGTTCTGATTCCCTGCAATCCACTTCAAGTATGTCAGCCTGAAACTAGTTCAAGTTTGTGCAAAAACAAAAAAAATCCAGCAAAATAAATCATTTTCTTCTCTTTCCATCCTTTGTTTTTTTTTTCTTCGGCCGAATGCCGAGAGCTGCCGCACTCCAGCGTTTCCATTCCTTTTTTTTGTGAGTTTATGGGAATAAAACAAGAGTTGAATTCCTCTGAATTCTTTAATCGAATCACCGCACATTACAACACTGGCTCTGTCAGCACTGCGCTATGTAATAGTCTGGTCCCGTCCAGTACGGCGGGGGATGAACCGCCAGTTTGGTCGTTTGGGGTTGCTGAAGTGTGTGTGGTGTGCACGTGTGTGTTATAAGCAGTCCTTGCACAGCGCCACCTGTCCTTTCATGTAGTCTCTGCAGGGACAGATGCGCGTGAGGGACTGATGGGCCCCGGCGCAGCTGAACAGCAGCAGGTCCGACTGGAACACGCAATGCCGAACCGATTCGCTGAAGGCGGGGACGACGATATCGCTGGTGGACTCCACCGTCTTACACTCCACACCATACCTGCAGTGAAGAAACCAAAGAGAGAATGCTTGAGGACATGACATGAGATCACCAAAAATCATGGTCATATGTGACCCTGGATCACAAAAGCAGTCTTAAGTCGCTGGGGTATATTTGTAGCAATAGCCAAAAATACATTGCATGAAGTTCACGGATAAAATTAATTTTATTAATTTTTAATAATTAGATCCATGGTCAAGTTGTTTACAAAAATAGTCAAAATCTGATGCAAATTTTGGGTAATTTAAAGGGGTCATATGATGCGATTTCAAGTTTTCCTTTCTCTTTGGAGTGTTACAAGCTGATTGTGCATAGATAAGATCCCTGAAGTTGCAAAGACTAAAGTCTCAAAACCAAAGAGATATTCTTTATCAAACTTTGTAGAAAACGAAGCGTTTGAGAGAGGCGGGGCATAGAGGACCTACAATAATGTACAGTATTTGAAAAATAATGTGTTTTTTTAACATTAAAGCATGTCAACATATTCTGTTACACCAAATACACAAAATAATGATCTTTAAAAAAGCATCATATGACCCCTTTAAGTCAAATCCCACCACACCTCAGCAGGAGCGAGTAAACAGACTGAGAATTTGAATGCTACAAGGAGAAATAAAGGGCCTGTGAAGTGCAGCACTGCCCTCTGCTGTCTGGATGGAGAACTGCAGCGTTTATACCTGAACAGATCCTTGTCTTTATTGAGATGCTGGAAGAAAGAGGGTTCACAGATCAGCTGCTCTTCCTGACACACCTGCTTGCAGGATTTACCTGCCGGAGCCAATTTGACCTGCATGGTGCTGAGAGGAGGCCACATCACCTGACCATGACAGAAATCCTGCACACACACACACGCGCACACAGGGGTGTTTCTTTACAGATCA